ATTTTCCCACTTTTTAGATTATGAGAATTTCAAAGAATGTATTTTTTGTTATTTATTTATTTATTTATTTATTTATTTTTGGTCTTTTTGAGACAGGGTTTTCATGTAACCCCAGCTGGCCTGGAACTCAATATGTAGACCAGGCTGGCCTTGAACTCACAGAGATCTGCCTGAGATCAAAGGTGTGTGCCACTATGCCCAGCCAAAGAATGTATTGTAATGCAAACTATTCCCCTCCATGCCTAGAAGTTATCACAAATCCATCCCCTCATAGCCTACACAATATTTGTTCTTTGATTTTGTTCTTCCTTTGTTTTTACCCAAATATAAAATTTGAACTGAACTGAACATAAACACTAGACTATGGGGCCATCCATGGAGAGAAGGTGACATACCTGGGGCCATAACTTGAAGAACACTGACTCCCTCCCAGCACCTATCAATTAGCAATAGCTCCTGACCAAGGGGTGGAATTTGTGTGCAGCTCCCATTCTCCATTCTGGGATTAAAGGCGTGCACCACCACACCCGGCTTGTTCTTTGGTTTTTGGATGTTGCCATGATGAGCAAGTTAACAAATCTCAAAATGGTTTTAAATTAGATTTCCCTTATGACTACTGATGTACAACATATTTAAAGAAGATCTTAGACATTTATATTCTGTCCTTGGAGAACTGCTTGTCCAGCACCTTGCCCCATATTAAATGGGTTGTGTGTTTTTTAATGTTTAGTATTTTGAGTACATTGTACAGTCTAGATACGATTCCTCTTACCACCAGAATTTGATGACAAGATGCTGCTGCTGAAGACACTACACTCATGAGCTATAGAAGAAAAGAGGAGAAATCTAATGACTTCAAAGCTGCATCTCTACTGCCTAGTCTTCATAGTGCTGGAAGGTGCTTTGTATGCTACCACAGAGAAAACTGATCATCAACTTTACCAGATGTGAATCCTGTGAGCTACAACAACTGGCCTGGCAAGATATTTGCAACAGTGACACGAGTATTTTGGGAGCTAACAATCACTTTATAATTGCATTTAAGGTCTCCTTCATAAGGTAGAGCCCATATTTGCCATATTTGACATGGATATCAGGCTTAGGGTTCATAGGACAGGGCCTAATACTATTATTCTGCTAAATGTATATAGTATTAAACTGACCCCAAATGCCTTGTTATACCTGCAGATTAATGCATCTCTCAATTGTCACTGGTGAAGCTTCTGTATGCAGCACATGGTGAATCATACAAAGACCCACAACTGACTAATGTGCAGATAATTAGACTGCATAGTACCTATACCCAAGTAGGACACCTACATGAAAGTTCTGCCTCTGAGGCCACAGGGACTGTTCCAGAATAACAAACAGAAATAGTTTAAAAGTCGCAGATGGTGGAAAAACACAAGGAAATAGACATTTAAAGACAGGTGGGCAGTAATTCATGAAATCACAGCATTGGTGACAGCATGCACAAGCCTCACATAAGTTCAAAACAGGCAAAATCCCAGCACAGACATGGAGAGGTTGGTAAGAAACATCAATGATGCTGAGGAAGTACTGGCCCTCACAGGCTTCAGAGGGAGAACGTGTCTCTTTCATGAATGGGTTTCTTCATAGGTTGACCAAGCTCTAGTGGATGACTGCATATATAAATATATGGAGAGAGAGAGAGAGGGAGGGACAGAGAGAACATGAAATTGGGTAGGGGTAGTAAATGGCATGCAGATAGGGGAGAGTATCTAAATATCATCAACACATACTATATGAAATATTTGTTAATTCAATAGAAAACAAACTGAACTCATGGAATACTAAGCATGTGAAAAAAAATTTACTATATTGTAAAAAATATTTTGGTTGCATGCATTCAAATGATTCATATAATGGTTATATTATTAAAGGAAGAGTGGTGAATATATTGAATCATGAACCATGGGTACTCCCAAGTGGCACATGTGAAAAATACACTGAGTAAAATATTTTAGTGGTAAACCTAAAAAACATATCCAAGGGGCTGGAGAGATGGATCAGGGGTTAAGAGCACCGATTGCTCTTCCAGAAGAGCCAGGTTTGATTCCCAGCACCCACACAGCAGCTATGAACTGTCCTTAACTCCAGTTCCAGGGGAGTCCAAAGCCCATTTCTAACCTCCACAGCATTGCACGACATGGGTGTACTCACAAACATGCAGCAATACACTCATACACATAAAATACACACACACACACACACATACATATAAAACAAGACAGGCCTGGTGGTGCACATCTTTAATCCCTGCAGAGCCAGGCAGATCTCTGCCAGTTCAAGGCCAGCCTGGTCTACAAAGCGAGTTCCAGGTCAACTTGGGCTAAAAGGCCACCCTGTCTCAAAAAGACAAAAAAATAAATAAATAAATGAACAAAGAAATCTTATAATCATCCCAAAAATCAAATGTAGAGTCAAGAACTTTTCCAAAGTATCCTGAATGGTCAAAAACTGAGATGAGTCAAGTATTGAATGGAAAGAGTCATGTGGGCCATTTACAGTGTCCTCTGCATTCCTAGTCTTTTTTTTTTTTTTTTCTAGTCTTTTTGAGATGGGGTTTCTCTGTAGCCCCAGCTAGACTGGAACTCACTATGTAGAAGAGGCCGCCCTTGAACTCACAAAGATCCCCCTGCCTCTGATCCCAAGTGCTAGGATAAATGCATGTACCACCAAGCCTGGTAACTAAGGTAATCTCCATCTTTTTAGCTTAATTTAAATTTGACATTAAATTTTATCTATTTTCTCTCATATTATGACATTGTCCATTGTGGATTGTTTCCATCTGACCCACAACTCAAAAAAATTATTCAACAGGTAAAAAATTAAAGTTTGGCTCCATCTTCAGAGATTTCAGCCCAGTATCCATGAGGCTCAGAGAACAACAGACAATGGCAAGACTGAGCCATGAGAGGGAAGGTCATGACATCAGAAATCTCATCTCATGGCTGACGAGAATTATAGAGAGAAGGAAGGTGCCTGAACAAGACACATCCTCCAAACCACAGCTCTGGGAACTGTATCCTGTCTGTGAAGAATTCAGAAGTCAGAAAGATTATGAATGAACAAGTATATGAGCAGCATGAGAAAGTATGCATTCCAAAGAAGCAGGACTGACGTGCACACACACACAGGAGGATGTGCAAATGTCCAAAATCAAAGAACAAATGAAGAACTGCACCGGACAATAGATTAAGTCTTAAATATTATGCAAGATCAATGTTTCACAACCTCTTCTCAGACCAAACTGCAAAATAGACATCAGTAGTAGGTAGAAAACAGAGGAATCCCAAATGCCATGCAGACAGCCACACATAATTAACACATTCTTATTTAAAATGGGAAGAGAATACAGAATTTCATGCTAGGTGAACATTCTATGTGATTCTCATCAAAGTCTTAAATCATTTTTGGCAGAAATACATTAGTAATTGTACAGCAATGGAAATCACAAGGACTCCGAAGGGCACAAACATTATCAAAGGAGGAACAAAAGGAAAGACACAAAATTTACTAATTTCACGATATGTTAAAACTTGACTCTGTAGGCCTTACTATATCTCACAGAATGCATCTGGTGGGGAGTATACAGGGTGGGGAGCAGAACAGGTAGGAGGTATAGACATGATGAAGATGTTTTTTATGAAATGCACAGGAATTCAATTAAAAATACACAGTGAAAAAATGTAGTAGAGGAAGTACTCATAGGAAAAAATATCAGCTATTATAGCTTGCACTGGCAAGAAATGTGACATGGGAGGTATGGAAAAATTAAATAATTAAATTAGGTGATGTTTGCATACTAGCAATTGCCACATAATTCATGTGTAATAAAAGAGGTTATTTGACATGGACCACACGACAAAGTTTGATGAAATTGCTCTAAATTAAATTATCAGAATCTCTTTCTAGTAAAACAGACTATGGCAAACCATTTTCAAGTCTTTATCCCTCTTTACTTACGTCCTCTCACCCGGGCCCGTCCTTCATCCACTCAAACCTACCTGGTTGGCTACAGTCTCCCCTCTCTTCACATTCCAGGGCTCTTTGCTTTGCTCCAGACAGGAAACCAGAACAGGCTTACACACAGCAAGACCTGTGTATGAGAAAGAGGCACATGAGCATACTGGATTCGTTAGAAAGTACGGGATTTCTAACACAGCGCTGTGCTCCACTGGAAATATACAGAAAAAGAGATGACACTCCAAATAAAAATTCTAACTTTTTATTTTAGGACAGACTCATTAGAATACACAAGGATTTTCTCAGTTTTCATATGCTTAGTTCTATCACTAATTCAAAATGTAGCTATGGAAATGGAACCTTAAGATTCTGGCTACAGTACAATGTACTAAAGGGTGACTGAAATAAACATGAAAAATAACAAATAGTAATAATAATTCCTCTGTAATAAAATAATAATTCCACTAACAAGTGGAAATGGAAAGTAATGACAGAATATAAACATGTTCTTCATGATGCCCAGACATTCCCAATACACTAATTTGTAAGTAATCTAAGACTTACACAGCAAAACTAGCATATGTACAAAGTAGACTATTATCTATCAAAGGATGGTAAATAGTAAAATATTCTGATAGAAAAATCTCCTCACCTACGGACACCAGATTGCTGTAGTTCTCCAACATCAACTCCCTGTACAAAGCCCTCTGAGCAGAGTCTAGGCATTCCCACTCCTCCTGGGAGAAGTCTATGGACACGTCCGTGAAAGTCAATGGATCCTAAAATGAAAAATGACAATTAGACCATAAGCACTTAAACAGGATAATGGACCCAAGAAAGAAAGAAAGAGATAATTAGTAAAAGACTTCTGAATTAGATGAGAAATCTGAATTATTTAAAATGATATTTCTTAATGCAGTAACTACTCATAATCTACTTGATAACTCTCTGTAAAAAAGAACAGCATCAGACCTTCCAAATTTTTGTGAAGATTATGATGTTAAGGAGCATAGCACAGAAATTACGCCTTCAGCATAGGAATACCATTTCTGTCCTATATTTGTAGCAGACAAGATTAGTTGTATATATTTATCTGATGTAAAGACACACTGATTTTAAGTGTGCTTCATGAATTCAAATGTTTATAACCAAGCACTGTAATCCTAGCTAAAGCACAGATTTTTACCTTAATATAATCTGTGGCTGAGTGTGACAGCCCTTTCATAACAGACTTTGCAGTGAGGCCACTGACCCAGATACAAAAGACACTTTCTCCAATAGCACTGAGTAGAACATGGCAGAAGATAAAGAACTCTGTGTGCTCTCCCACCTCAGCAAGAAGACACAATCCTTGTTAAGTAAAGCCTATACCCTGCAATGTAATGTCAAAAGTACAGAAACATCAGTGCATAAGTATTCTAACAACACTTTTATAGTAATTTCTTTTTTAATTATTATTTTATGTGTATGAGTATGTCTACATGTATGTGACTGCACCTGTGTCATGCAATGATGAGGAAGTCACAAGAGGGCTTCAGACTCCCCTGGAACTGGAGTTAAGGACAGTTCATAGCTGCTATATGGGTGCTGGGAATTGAACCTGGGTCCTCTGCAAGAGGAGTCAGTGCTCTTAACTACCGAGCCATCTCTACAGCTCCCAGTAATTTCTTTTTTTATCCTCATTTACTTAGGTAAAATTTACCTGGAAAGACCACACTGCCAACTTACATACATCACAATAAGAGGACTTGAGAGCTGGGCTCTTCATTGCAGTGAGTAATGAAAACATGAAGACAAGATACAAAACCAAACAGTGTTGATGCTGCATACACAAATGCCTCCAAAATCAGACAACTACATGTGTGTAACATTTGAAAAAGGAAGCTCTTTTCTGAGGATCAAAGAACCAGTAATGGAGGCAGTGCTGTGACAGAGTGTGAAGTAGAAATACCCACAGAGAGAAAGAGGCCTGCTTCAGAATCTCCACCTGGAAACTCAGGATTTAGCAAACAAGTGAGAAAGGTTTCTTTTTCCAAAGAAAGGAAGAGAACTACAGTGATGAAAGGGGAGATCCTGCAGTAAATGTCATGATTCGTGTGCTTCACTCTGTGAACTACCAGGAGAAAACTTATTCCTAATAAATTAAAAACAACGTCAAAGTCTGGGATTTGGTGTAGAGCAGCTCAACCAAGGGACTCAACTCCCAGGAGACAAAATACTGGTGTCAACACAGCCAGCAGCACATACAATCGGACCAGTGATGTGGGTGGGATTAAATGTTGAGCAAAGTAAAATATATCAGAACAAACTAAAACAAAAATATGTTTTATGTACAGTTCAAAGAACAATACAGTGGCATATGAGGACCCAAGTCCATCCTCCTTAGGAAATGAAGACCGACATGTTTGAATTTTCACCTATCACATCAGAAACATTTGTGAGATGGTTGGTCACGAATCATTGGCTTAGTCTCAAAAACATAAACACTGGAGGACAAAATGTAGGAGGATAAGCTACATACGTGATACACATTAAAAGAGTTAAGGTGGCTTGAACCTGGTGATGCAGGACTTTACTCCCAGGACTCCAGAGGAAGAGGAAGAGGCATGAGGATCTCTGTGAGATCCAGGCTAGCCTGGTCTATATAGCTATTTTCTGGATCAGAAAAGGTTACAAATTTAAAGCACCAAACATTTAGAGAAAGAAAATGTACGTGGTCGAGGCTCTTGGATGTATTTACCTGAAAAGAAGCCATCTCTCTCCTCTTCCTGTGAGTTTCCTTTCCAGGCAATCTTACATATACAGTCTTCTCTTTGTTTCAAGAAACTTCCTTTCAGTTCACTGAAAATCCAATTCACCTGGCAACATAACAAGAGGAAGAAGCACCTCAGAAAACAAAACAGGCTGTTCTCACTGTCTGCCATCACAGTAGATGCACAGGAAGAAAGAGCTCAACATGGAGACCCCATAGAAGTTTCTGCTTTCCCGCCTTCCAGTGGCCGCCCTGCCAATAAGATCAAGAATTCCTACTACATGGTGGGAATGTAGCTGCCTCTCCTCCTTACCTGAACAAGGCAGAGTAACACGGTTTTCATCCTTTGGAATAGAGGTTACACTAAGCTTTCCTTCAGTAGCGCTAGCAGCTGACCCCCAGCCTGTCTTCTGCCTGTGACTGTTAATGAAATAGCACTGATGCTTCTACTTAGCTTCATAGACAGAACCTGTGGGGGAGCCACAAGGGAGAGTTTTCCTTTCAAAGGCTAAAGTTCAGGAGTCATTCATTGTGGGTTTTACAAGTCTATTCTTGGGACTGGAGAGATGACTCAGAGGTCAAGAATACTGGCTACTCTTGCAGAGGACCTGAGCTCAATTTGCAGCACCCACATGGTGCCAACAAGTGTACGTAACACCTGTTCCAGGGGTTCCCATACTGTCTTCCAGCCTCCACAGACATGGCTCACACGGCTGCACTTATATACACACAAGCACAGCACTCTTACACATGAAATAACTTTTAATAAAAATGCAATCTTTATTGTGTGATGAAATGATATTTTACATACTTATGAGGTATCCCTGATATTTTGTTAGACTTGTACATTGGAGACTGATTTATTCAGTCATTAATATAGCCACATGTAAAATTTTATCCTTTCCTATGGTAAGTGCATCCAAATTCATCTTTTTAATAATTTTAGAACAGAAAATGCAAGTTGGAGAATTTATTCACCTCGTTGTGGCACAGAACAGTAGAGCTCAGTTAAGCCATGAAGCCGTGACACTGTGTCTGTTATTTACCCACATTCTCCCCATTCACTGCAAACTGCTAATGTGCCTTCAACGTCTGTCATCTGTCTTTTTTTTCTTTTTCTTGATTCATTGAAATCATGTAGTGGTTGTGTTTCAACTTTCTTTGCCTGATACAGTGCCCATCAGATCAATCCTGCTCCCAAGTATGAGAAGATTCCATTCTTTCATATGATGGAATTATGGTTTATTCTTTAGAAATATCACATTTCAGTAAATCTTTCATTTCTTAATGCACATTTCAGTAGATTCCCTAGTCTTCAAGCAGTGTTGCCATAATTAGGGAGCACACATATCTCTATGCTACACTGAATTCATCTATGCAGGATTTGGTGGCAGGAGCCACACTGGAGAGAGAACACCTGTGCCTCCCTTTTTGGCATCTGCTTTACCTCACTTAGTCCAGCCATTTCTAGTTCCATCCATTTACCTGAAAATTCTTTGATTTCCTTTCCTTTACCACTGAGTAGAACTCCATGTGTAAATGTACCAGATTTACATGCTCAATTCATATTCTGAGGGACATTTAGGTTGTGCATCTGAATTTCAAAGAAAGTAGAATAGAAACTTTTTAAACTCTGGCTTATCATGTACTTAACTGAGACATTAACTGTGTCTGTTCTGATGAACCGGGAGGGCTTTGGTTGAAATTCAGACTCTCACATTCTTGAAATTCCATGGCAATACTAAAGGAGCAGTCACGTTAATATAAACAGGCTTATAAGGAAGTTTTGGTCTTAAAAACTACGTTGTGACATTTCTTCCAGTGTATACATTTTAATACTAAAATTCATAGTCATAATTGTGTCAAATTAATAGTCAATTTCAAAAATGTACATAGAGAACAAAATATCACATTGTACCTACTAAACACATATAGTCCTTCTTTGTCAAAAGTTAATACTAAGGGGCTGGGTAGATGGTTCAGAGTTTAAGAGCAATGCCTGCTCTTTCAGAGGGCGCAGGCTCAATTCCTAACACCACATTGGCACTAACACCACATTGGCACTAACAACCATCTGTAAGTATGGTTACAGGTGAACTGATGCAATCTTCTGACCTCAGTACACCTAGCATGGCATGGGTGCATTTACATACATGCAAGTAGTACACTCAACACATAAGAATAATGAAACTGTAATTTCTAATACTTGATGATAATCTTTTTCCACACTAACAAAGTGTGCAGGGTTGTGTCCCTCAGGACCACCTGCCTCTTGAGTGTGTTTCAGGACAACACCATCATCCCCGGCACCCCAGGTGGTCAACAGCTTAATGCACAAGACACCAAGTGCTCTAGCAACTTTGTATGCCAGTGCTGGGTGGCTCCTGATTTGAGTCTTTAGAAAGGACCTCGATTTCTAACACAGTTGTGTACTCAACAGATAAAGAGAGAACACAACAGTGAATTCTACCAATGATTCCCCAATTGGAATATTCTATGCGAACACTGATTATATTTACAGAGCTTTTTCAATTTTCAGAATTAGTGTTCCATTTCTAATTACAGCTCAGCAAAAATCCCAGGTTGGAAATGGAACTTCATGATTGGGGTGGCAATATTATATCCTATAAACTTTCTGAACTTGTGTGGCATAGTGGCGCCGACCTTTCGTCCCAGCACTCAGGAGGCAGAGGTGGGTGGATCTCTGTGTGTTCCAGGCTAGCCTAGTCTACATAATGAGTTCCAGGCCAGCTGGTGCTACAAGGACACCCTGTCTCAAAAGTCCCCCCCAAAAAAATTTCTGAATTTATCATGGAATAAAAATGAAAAAAACATAACCACTCCCAAGGGACAAACATAAGAACAGACAAAATTTCATTACAGTGTTCTTTTCTCCTCTGAGAAGTTCACTTTATGAGATGTGAGACTCACTCAATATTAACACACACACACACACACACACACACACACACACACACATAGTAGTTCATCAGGGAACTCTGAGTATAAGTAAGAAATTCTGTAAAAAGAAATTCTCACCAACAAAAACCAGAGAGCTGTAATTCCCCACCACTAGGTCTCTTCACAAAGCCCTCTGAGCAGGATCTAGGCACTCCCTCTCTTCCTGTGAGAAGTCCACAGCCACACCACTGATTGTCAACACACCCTGAAAATAGAATAACAGTTTGGCCATCTGTCCACAGGCAATTGCTTTTCTTGAATCAAGGAGACCAAAGAGACTGAGAGGCGTTTTCTAATGTAGGGAGGACCACAACATTCTGAAGATGCTTTTGGACATTGTCATATTCTCTACTGTTCTAACTGTGGAAATAGTAAGGCAAGATATCCTCATATTCAGCATGAGTACTGTGCTGTTATGGACTATAGCATTAACATCTCAATGTAAGAATATACATTTTAATGTTGAATTCATATCATACGTTATATATTCCAAATGGAACATTAACGGTGAATTGAAAGTTTACTTATTGGGTTAAGGCTTACAACTATAACTGTGGATGTCCACTAAAATATAGGTTCTGATTCTATACAATCTAGAATCATTCCTTGTGTGACTAATTCTAACAAGCTCTCTAGGGATGGCACGTCCCAGGGTCCAAACGCCAGTCCCTCAGATACAGAAAGTGGAAAATGGAAGTTAGATTGCCTGGACGAATTTACACTGGAAGAGCTTTGCTGTTTCCACAACAGCAAGGGCCCCCGCCGCATCTCTCCTCCTCGCCTGGGTACAGGCCTGTGGCTCGAATTCTCTCAGGGTCTCCTGCATGATCAAACAAACCACATAATATATTTTATGTGAGTTTATTAACTTACAAAGGAATGAGTACCCAGTACTTGATTATTTTTATGAGATTATTTGAGAAACCACAAAATTGCTGATAAAAATGAGGATTCATCTTAGTTCACATGATCTTAAATTTATCTAAATGTAATAACCTTTAATAATCTAAATCTGAGGATGCACAAGGCCAACGTATTCAAATATCTACAACCGAGCTTTGAGACCTGGGTTGCTTGCTGCAGATAAGCACAAAGCTTAAGTCCCGGGTGCATTTCCGGAACCTGCCTCTGCCCGAATCCCCAACTCTGACTGCAGAGGGTCCCGGGCCACTCCGATCACATGAAGGAGTCTTTCCCGCGGCCTCAGGTTCGGTCCACACTCTCCTCCCATCTGCCTGTCCTGCCCGGACCCGCCCCGCATCCGCTCTGCACCTACCACTCCACGTGGTTCCCGTGGCTGGGGTGAACGCACGGCCGCCTGTTCGGCACCACGCTGCAACCGGGTGGAGTGCTCCCTCGGTCTGCTTTGAGTTTTCCGGACCCCAAGGCCCAGCGTCCAGCCGGACCTTGGCGCCGCCCACTCCAGCCCAGGTTTTACCAGGAAATGGATGTCTCAGGAAGTGTCATAGGAAGCCCTTTGCTGACTAAACAGGGCCTGAATTCTTCCTGCAGTGTCCAGCAGTCACCACCAGAGGGCTGTCTTGCCGTTTTCCTATCTCAAACACGGTTCCATTGCAGAAATCAATCTTAGAAATACTTTTAGGTAAAGCACAGAAAATTCCTATTTAAAAACTCACAGGAAAGGAATATGCAGGAATTTTACGACAGCATTAAAAGGCAGAACCTTAAAATTATGGACAGAGAAGAGAAGAACTCCAGGACAAAGGAATGGATAACATTTTAAATTCAATCACACAAGTTATCCAGCCA